TTTCACATTGACTCAGGAATTCTGGAAGTCTGTTAAGATACGACGGCCTGAGTTTGACTCTCTGGCCGTTTCTATAATAGATCTGCTTGAGGTGTTCTGGGAAATGATTGACAGAGCTGAATCCGTGTCCAACTCCATCGTTAAGGGGACCCCCTGCAATTTGACATCAACACACAGCTCTTTCTTCAATGGCCAGTAGGCCCCTGTTCGCAAAACGCTCCTGCGGGACACGCAGAAACCCACCTTATTCTGGCTGGGGACCCTGATACCTTTCCGAGGCAATTTTTCTGATGGATGGTCTTTTTTGTGACCCAAACAGACGGCGGCTGTGTGGCCTTGCCGGCCACACACCCAGTAAGTAGCAGAGCGAAAATGTCAGTCAAAGTGCTTGTGGCACCCTCCACATCTGAAACACCTTGTCAGACCCCTTGTCAGCATGCTCTTGGGGCCTTCTCTCTGCTGGCTGCTGCAGACGGTTGACCTTATTTCTGGAATCCAGTTTGGATACCTCTTGAGCAACCTCTTGATGGATTGAGCCCGAACTTGTAGGGTTCTTGGAAAGCAGCAAGGCCTTAACAGCTCCTCCCACTGCTTCGTCAGCCGTGATCTCCCGTAGCGCATCCTGGAAGAATCGTTTGCTGTAGCTCTTGGCTCCTCAAGCCACAAACTAGCTGATTACACAGCCGTTCTTCTAAGTCTTTGAACTCACAGGGCCTTGCAGCTTGCTGCAGAGCAGCAATAAAGTCCACAGCAGACTCTCCTGGACATTGGTCCCGCTGCTCAAATGCATGACACCATGCAATCACCGATAGCTTTGGTTCAAAATGTTCCTTTAACATTTTCTTAAGCTCAGTATAAGCGATGGATTCCAGAGGTGCTGGGGCAACCAGATTTTCAGCTATATCAAATGTCTCTTGCCCATAGACACACAGTAATGTTGCGGCTTTAAGCCCATCCTCCCGCACTTGGTTTACACGAAAGTAGTTCTCTACTCTGGCAACATATGAACTCCAATGTTCAGGGTACGCTGTATCGAATTCGGACAAACACTCTATCTTACCCATCGTTCCTCCTTGGCGGCCTCGTAAACGCCTCATGCTGCTCAGCTTGTGAAGGGGTTCTAGGGTGAATCTTGCCAAGCTCTCCTCCAGCATTTTCGAACTGGCAGGCAGAGTCGCACAAATTGGAACGCCGAATTTCCAAGCACTTCGGCCTCCCGTGGTGAGTCAGCCTAGTATTCTTTTGTTGCTGTTTCCTTGTAGCATGATCCCATCCTCGTCGCCAATGTTCTGTTCTGTGCATTGGTAAGGCATTGAGACGAGGCAGGTGTAACAACAGTTGCTTTTTTATTCAAGCTTCAACAGAACAACACAAAATGGCGCAGATCCCTCTTATACCCTTTTGCAGGGAACAGCGTCAGCCAATAAATGCAACGTATTTCCCTGCTTTGCGCGGGCGCAATAGGAGACAGCCTGTCTGTCCCGGGCAGCCACGTGGTCTGCCCGGGTCTCTTTGCAGCTTCCTGCACCTGGTCTGTCAATCACAGGCCCAGGACATAACAGCTGATATCTGAAGAGAGACTAGCAAAAGACAAAGCATTATAGTAATGTTTGGTAACACAAAGAGAATGCTGCACCTGACAGATCTAGATAAAGTCCCTGAAGCAATAGTGCTCTAAGAAAGTCACAACACATTTCCTAGTTGTAAAGATCTTGGATTTTATGAGTTTGTTTTTGAACTCTCACTTTCTTTTTCTGCTTCTTTAGTGTTTTCTCTACTTGTGTGTTTATTTGAAACTTGGACGTTCTGTAGTATACAACACTGATTTATGCAGGGACTGTTGTTTATGAGGCCAGGACACATTTCAATATTAAACTCCCTAGGAACAAATGGAATCCAGGTACAACACAGACAATTTATTATATAGGTCAGAAGGCAGGAAATGAGATTACTAGTAAAAAATCTCAAACAGAGAAGACCGTAGTTAGGAAAACTAAAGTCTAAAAGACATTGAAAAACAAAACTAAACAGCATGAACAATGACTAACAGTAAATTGTTGTAAGATTTCATGAAGTGAAGTGGGATAAAGATAACATAACAGTGTTGACTAGGTGACCTTTTCACATTAACACTACTGTCAAGACTGATTCACCCTTTGACCTACATTTTCTCCCTTGTTCATAGCTTGACAAAATTGTGAAATGGAATGCAAAGGTGGAAAGGGTGGTTATCTAGGCAACTGAGAACTTGCAAGAATGCCAAGGTCACTAACGCAGGTGCTCAATGGAGAAGTGAACTTTTTCCATAACAAGAAGTATTATTACTGGACAATATGAACACCCAGTGAGTGGGGCGAGGGAATCTATTGTTTAATTAATAAGCTTTTGAGTGGGAAAACCAGAGCTGGTTTTGCTTCTTCTGTGCCAATATAAATTTTCAGTAAAATATTATACTCTTGGTAAAATCATGTCTCAAGATTTTTTTTTTCCTGGAAATGCCAACTGGACAGTTGACGCTATCAACCCAACATAAAGATGTATTTAAGAAATATATTATTTTCTTATTTTCTTTTTAAAATAATCTTACTGGTAATTTTAATGCAACACTGGAAACAAATGACTAGATTCCGTTTGGTAAATTCAGTTACCACCACAAAACAGATTTGTTTCCTCTCCTTATTTAGTAGATTAAAGAGAGAATTGGAGACTGAGATTAAGTCAAATCTCCAGACAAAGATTTATCACTGCTGAAATTGTAAGTTCTAGACAACTCATGCCCATTGGATCATCATTTAGAGATATTTCTCTGTAAACAGAGAATCAGAATTACTATGGGTAGACAAAAAGCAATGGACTGACTTCCAACTTCTTCTGGCTTCCCCATTGGTGGGGAAGGAAGGAAACTGGCAAGGAACATTGAAAACTTCCTTCCTTCCTTCCTTCCTTCCTTCCTTCCTTCCTTCCTTCCTTCCTTCCTTCCTTCCTTCCTTCCTTCCTCCCTCTTTCCCTCCCTCCCTCCCTCCCTCATTCCTTTCCTCCACCTCGCTTTTGAATTTCTTCCAGCTTTTCTGTTTATTTTAATTGTGGTAAGCTTGCAAGTTAGTGCAAAAGCCAGCAGGAAATTGGAAGTCCAAGGCCAGCAGGGAGGTATGGCTGATGAGGAAAAAGGGATTGAGACAATAGCTGGAAAACTGTTGCAGAATATTCAAAATGAGCATCATGTGACAGCAGCATAGCTCAGCAGCACTGAAGCAGCCACAACTTTCTCACATTTCCTTTTCTCTGCAGTCATGTGTCTCTTGGACACATTCTGTAAGTTAGTTCATTTGAGGTACCTTGGTTCAAAAATGTTTGTCCTATCATGCATTGTTTCAGCCAGGAATGAGAATTTTAGTAGTATACTAGAAAACCTGTGCCCAGTTAAAGATTATAGGAATGAGAGTTTTAGTGGTATATAGATATTTAATAATCTGGAATGATGAATGCTGGTATTAGTATCTCTGTTTATTTATTTATTTATTAAATTTGTATGCCATTCATCTGACTATCCAGAGTTTACGTCAGATTTACCTTCATAAATCATATTGCTCTGATTTTAAGGAATTGCAGCTTTGCTATTATAATGTCTATTAATAAAAAAGCAGTTCAGATTTGCCTGCCACTTTAGAGATGTATCCATCTTTAAATATACACCAAATGGCAAACCATATGCCCAAGATATTTATAACAAATTTGTATATTGGGTCAATTTTGTTCATACGTTGGCTGATGAATAGATTTTGGATCATGCTTTAATCATACATAACATATAGTGGAAAATAATATGTCTGATTGTATGCTGCCCTTACTGCATTTATTTTTATTCTAGCTATAGAATGTGATACTGATTTAAAAGTTCTACAGTAGACAGATGCTTGCTGCAGTCAATATGCAAAAGTTTATGAAAATTCTAAATTAAATATCTGAGGGAATGTGAAAGAACAGTAGTCCAGAGAAATTCCTGTCCATTAAAGTCCTTTTATATGCAAAGCATGTAGTACTGTTAATATGTACCAATTGGTTTCTAATTAGCTTTGCATACTTTGGCTGATTATTGTAAAGAGGAAGCATTGGGGGAAAAATTATTCCAAACTAATAAACAGTCTAGATTCTATGCTTGACAATTGAATGAGCACCTCACTGAACAATTAAAAAAAAATAGAGATAATATTTCACTCATCTGGTAAGCATAGGATTATATTGTTAAAAATTCCCCAAAATTGGCAATATCTCCTTGATCTTGGCTGATAATTTTAAATTGACTTAAGCAAGATAAATTATTGCAGGATTATGCTTTTTACAGGACATACTAACAATAACATCAGCTGTCAGTGTCAAGCCTTAAACAAAGTATTATAGAAAGAAAAAGACAATTAGATTTTGCTGGCTCTACTCGTATGTGTTTTTCAGTAGCCAGTCACACTATTTTAGACCAGCAAATATTCACTCCCACATTTAGGATTCCATTAGCCTCAGATTGTTTTAACTCACCTCTAACAACCACTCTTGAAGGAAAGTTCAGGAAAATATCTTAATTTTTAAGAGTCTGTCCTTATGTGAAGGAGCAGTTGAACATACAATTCATGTATATTTGCATTATCCATTTTATATAAATAGATTGCTATATTTTGTATCCCTCATAGTAAATTTTTGGATTATTTGATACAGTTGTTAGCCATCTCTGTGTTTGAATGTGACTACAGTTTGTTTTACTGTTTGTAAAATCCATTATAACCAATCAACATTGATTATTTGGTTATTGTTTATTTTTATCTGCTTTTATTTTGTCAGTTTCAATTTCTATTTTCTTCTAAATGGAATTTTGGTTATTGACATAATAAAACTGACAGTGTAATTTTAAATGGTGTTTCTTTCCACAGGATCAAATCCAAAAACTTATTTTCCTGTGATTAATGTTAGCAGAGAGGAACACAAAGGTTCAAAAGAGTCTATGTACTTACCTGGAGCAGGCAGAAAGCCATCATCCAGACTGTCATCTAGGAAAACTCCAGTTGGATCTGAACTGTATCTCTGAATGAAACTGTCTTCTCTCACTGGATGGCCCTGCTAATTGTAGTAAAATACAGTTTAATAAGAGGAATCAGTACTCCATTGTTGACACAAAAAAGACATTCTAATTCCAAACAATGGCTTGCAGGAAGAATTTTATATATATTCTAACGGATGGCAAAACATTACCATTAAACAATTCAGAAGTTACTGGAATTGATCAAACCAAATTGATCAAACTTACCCCATTTCTATCTATGCAGGTTACTGCAGAATTATTGCTTGTAGCACTCTAAAACAAAAGAGAAAAATGTTTCATGAATTTATTTTAATAGGTGAAGACCATTAGATCACTACATACTGTGGGAAGTCAGTCCCACAGAGAAGGAAATATTAAAAGGATCTCAAAGAGGCAGGAAAGCATGCCCAGTTTTCTTAACAGCCCCACGTCTTCCTTCCCCAAGCAGAAACCAGCTCTATAGAGATGCAGATGTAAATCCAGGGAACTAGGAGATTAAGAAGACAAAGACCTAAAATCTACATACCCCATCCAAACTCTTAAGAGTCATCAGCCCAGCCCCAGGGAAGCAGGATATGACCCTTGGACACAATAGGATTAATTCATCATCATCAGAATACCAGAAAGGCACACTCAGACTCAGGTCAAAGTTTATACCACAGGAACAACTCCAAACAAAAGGCTCCAGAGGCTATAAAAACTCACTCCCTATATGTGTTCACTCCTCTTTTCTGCCAGAGCCATCTTTCTGTCTGGCTCTCCTCTTCAATAAACTGCAACCTTCTTTCTAAATCAGTTACCATGTTGTTTATTCTGGCTTGGACTGAACCATGATGAAGACTTTTCTTCCAACAATACTAAACACAGAAGCCCTCCTCCAATCTGAAGTAATTGGGAAACCTCCAAGTGTGTGGACCAACATCCAATATTTTTAATTATGACCCCCCCCAATGGAATTTAAACAGCTGATATATGTACATCTCACAGCTATCCAAACTGGAGAAGACTGCCATAAAGATTAAAATTATTGTGGCAAAAGTCTGCTCAAGGAAACTGATATTAAAATAAAATGTGTTTCTTAAAATGTGATACAAGATTTTTTTATGGATGTTGATGCAACATATTAGTTGCTTATTTGCTTGGAGGATATTCATTCAAAAAGAACTTTAGAAACAGTCCCATACCAATGAGCTTAAGAGAGGTGTTCGTGAGTTTGATGGGCTGCTGAAAAATCCTTGATGGGGAATTAGATATTCATCTGCATCCACAATATCCTCCATGTCTTCTTCTTCTATTAGACTTCGGTAAAATTTGGAATCTGTTGGGCTGGGCAGGTGCATTCTTTCATCTCCCTACTCAGAAACAAATTCCAATTAGGATGAATAACTCCTAAGTGCACCACTATAACATTACGTCTTACTACAATTTGAGAGTTAAAATATCACTATCAAAAATATTCGCTGATCAACAATAAAATATGCATTTAGACTGAGAAGAAGAATGGTTCTATATTCTTGGAAAGTACTGTAAATTACTCTAAACACAAAAGGCACTTTATCCAACGTTCTGCTTCCATGGTGACAGATAATTTGTTCACCATTATCTGAGAAGGAAGACCCTCAGACAATGACTCCAGAGAAGATGTGGAAGCCACCTCAAATGTTTTGCTTCCATACACATTATTCAGATATTTAGCTGAAGTAGAAAACTGAATTTTCTACTAGAAGTTGTTTTTTGTCTTATTTCCTTGGTAATAACATTCTATAGGAAATTGAGTGGTATTTATGGAAATTTACTCAGCTTATTCAACATCTCTTTCTGTGTGAGAATAGGTTAAAATGGAATATTTTTCTCTCATTCTTAGTTTTAAAATAAAACTTCTTTTCCATAAATTTGAAATTATAATTTTCTTTGTATTTATTATATATCTGGATAGAATGTAATCTGTAGCCCATATTGGTATGCAGCTTTTTAGATTAATATGTACCATTATAATACATAACTTTCAAAATATTCTTTAAGTTTAAATTGGGATGTGCTGATTTAGATCATTTGCTGATTTAGATTTAAATCAAGTGCTGATTTAGATAGCCAGAACCAATCCAATGAATACAAAATATTGTTTAAAGGGTCTATGACAACTCACCACAGCCAATTCAATACAGTTAACTCACCAGGGCCAACTCATTGTGGGACAACTTGCCACGGGACAAGAATTACACTAATATCTAAGAAATAGTCAAATAGAATCATTAAAGAAAGGATGCCAAAGAGGGACAAAATAAAATGTGAATGACAAAAAATAAAATATTTTTTAATTATTTAAAAAAATTAAATTAAATTGTTGAATTGTCCCATAGCAAGTTGTCCCATGGTAAGTTGTCCTGCAGTGAATTGGCCATGGTGAGTTGTCCCATTCCATTGTTTAAAATGAAACTGAGGTATTCATATCTCTGTTTTTAGATTTAGAGATGACCATTATTTTATGGTGTTTTTTACTGACCTACTTAAAATAAAAGAATCTCAAAACAGTTTTATACCACTTGTCCATTTAAGTTTTTAAAATTTGGAGCACATTGTATCATTTGCTTGAAAAAGTGAACACCATGTTATTCATGCTCAGCACCTGTATGACAAGATAGCGTTGTGGGTCCCGAGCCATTTTGGAGAATTCTGCTATTAACTCTCTGAATTTAGGACGACTCTCTGCATCAATCATCCAACCTGAAGGTGATAACAGGAACAACACAAACAAGATATGGAGAAAATGGCCATAAAATTACTTCAAAGTACAGAAGCACTTGTTAGAAAATGGGTAAATTATCAAAAAGACTTTAAATTATGGATCATAACACTGACTCTGAAACAATCATTATAAGTAGTCTATATAATAAAATTACTTTGTACACAAGCAGAAGACAGGATTATACCAGAAAGCTTGCAATATATAAACTATAACTGTCAAATGTTAGATGTATATAGAAGAGTGAATACTCTATTTAAAACAAGCAAGTAAAGTAATTTGGCCTTTTAGATAGTAATGACTTACATTTGACCATGATCATATACACATCAATTGTACATATGGGAGGCTGAGGCAGCCGTTCTCCTTTCTCCAAGACCGAGGAAATTTCACTGGCTGGAATACCATCATATGGTTTAGATCCAAATGTCATTAATTCCCAAACAGTGACACCTGAAATACCATAGAAAGTTGAAAGACTCAACCAGTAAAATTAGAAAGCCAAATACTAAAACATGTAATAACTTGACTATTTGCTCAAGAGACAAATTCTTCTTTTTCTTCTTGTAATATATGCAATTTATGATATAGGTTGCTGATATAGTCTGGAGATGATTACTAGCAGTATGATAGGCTGAAAGAAACAACAGTCCTAGACTTTCAATAATCAGAAACTTTGGAGGGAAATAGCCATATAAACATTATTGAAAAGTTGATGGTGTACAGGATTTGCTTCACTGAGCAACACAATTTCAGACTGTCAAGTCTGTATTTTCTTAGTATTTATTTATCTGATCATTGAACTCGTCATCCAAGTTTCAACTGATAGGTCTGAAATAACTCACTGAGCAGTAAATTTGGATTGGGAGTTGAAACTGGATCCCAGTCCAACATTTTAATTACTGCACACATGACTGTCAAGCAGACAAAAATGAGCTCCCTGCCATATTTCTTTTGAAAAAATACAAATATCTGGGTAGATCCATAGTTTCATCTTATTAGTTTATATTATTTGTGTTTTTGCTTAGAGAGGTATATAACAAAACCATGATTGTTGACCAATTGTGAACTTGCTTTCTCTCCTGGCAAAGTCTCAATGGCTTATTGTGGTTTGCATGTTATTTACAGCCTACTCCAAATAGTTTCAACAAACAAGGTGAGACTTTGTTCTCCTTCACATGATATATCTATGCATGGAGAATATACTAAAAAACCACATAATGAATATTTCTTTATGCCAAATAAATACTAAAATAAAATAATAAAATAAAATAATATATAATAACCCAAACCACTATCTCCCTCCACACATACTAAACATTAAAGTTTGACAAAATGATCCAAATTTTGCTTCCATTAAAAACCATCTGTTATATTAATTTTGTGCATCAAAGGCTCTTTGGAGAGATGCAATTCCATAACATTATCCCTCTGTCTCTTCAAGAATAAATGTTACAGAGCACAGCTTGCAAATCAGCTCAGTGACCGATTTAGAATCAGCACACATGTTTTTACACTTACCAAAACTCCAAACATCACTCTGGTGGGTATAAATGCGATGCAAAATTGACTCCAAAGCCATCCATTTAATTGGAACCTAGAAAGAGGTTGGAACCGTTGCAAGCAGATGAGAATCAAAGTCCATTATTTTAAAAAGTATGACAGTATTTGTTAATGCTTGCAAAATGTTGTTTTATACATATCATTGCAGCTAGCCAGCCATTCATGATAGATACGTTACTTATATAACCTAGAATTACTGCTCAAAATATGAAAAGTTGAAAGAAGCATTGCCAGCAAAATGCTCTTATGTATTTTTACTAAACGTAGGGGAAGGAGTGGGCTTTTTATGATGTGAATTTTATAAGCCACCTGCTATCACCTAGGTGTGAACTGAGTGACAGCCATGAATTGTTTATAAATAAATAGCTCTACAATTGAGAATTGTAAAATTGTTTGGTAGAGATGGTCACAGATGATGGCATATTTCTCAATTAAAAATTCCACTGGAATTTTACTTTTACTTCAGCGAGAAGTAATGTCTTTCTCAGCATTCAACATGCAACTTGCTGTATGCATATTACATCTCTATTCAGTGTGCTACAGCAACTTCTAGTGTGCTTCTGGGTGCAGTTCTGGAGGTACTGGTTGTCATCTATAAAGCTGTTCATGGCATAGGAATTTGTGGGATGGCTGTCTCTTTCCACTAGATCCAGAAGTCAGTAAAAAAAAACAAAATCTTGTGGGACTCAGGAAGCAGGACTTTTCTGTTGCTATGCCTGTCTTTTGGAAATGACTTTCTCCTGGAGAATAGATTGGGCTCGATCTTGCTGACATTTAGAACATTTCTGGAGGGCTGGGCTTGGGAAGCTGCAGACCTTCTGTCTACCTTAATTATGCTGCCAGATTTCAGTCACCAGATTGCAATAAATGAAAAAATAACCCTGATCAGAAGACTATCCCCTCCCCTCCCAATGATTACCTTGCTAATCCATTCTAGTCCTTGTGTCTCCTTCCTTCATTTTGCCCTCTTTCTGATGTTGTTTAATAATTTGTGTGTGCGTGCATGTGCATGCATAGGGTCTCCCCCCTTCCAGCCCCACCCCCTCAACAGAGAATTGGAAGAGAGCTGTAACAAGTTCTGCGACTGGGGGAGGGGAAGAAGAGTCTCCAAACTTTTTAGCCAGTGTTTCTCAATTCTTGGAAGGAAGGGAGGGAGGGAAAGTGGGAAAGAAGGAAGGGGGGGAGGGTGAAGGGAGAGAGGGAGAGTGGGAAAGAAGGAAGGGGAGGGAGGAGAAGGGAGTGGGAAAGTGGGAAGGAAGGAGAGGGTTGGAGTGAGAAGGAAGGAAGGAAGGAAAGGAAGGCTGATGGCCTGCATACGTTGGTTCTCTGAAAAGGGAAGTCCCAAATACTTCTACCATAACGGACCCAACTGCTGCAATTGTATTCCTTGCAAGCACTCTATGGTGAAGATGGAACTGCTGTCAAGGTTGCACCCAGCACCCCAAAGATCGCTGCCACCAGACACCATACCCAGGCCATCAGCCTTCCTTCCTTCCTTCCTTCCTTCCTTCCTTCCTTCCTTCCTTCCTTCCTTCCTTCCTTCCTTCCTTCCTTCCTCCAAACACAATTAACAACTTTGGAAAGAGGGCACAGTGAAGGAAGGAGACACAAAGACTAGAATGGGTTAGCAAGGTGATTATTGGGAGGGGAGGGGGCAGTCATCTGATCTGGGTTATTTATTCATTTATTGCAATCTGGTGACTGAAATTTGGCAGCACAATCAAGGTAGACAGAAGGTGTGCAGCATCCCTAGCCTAGCCCTCCAGAAATGTACATACCTTCTCAGCAGGCATATATGTCTACCAGCTGGCAGGAAATATTAAATGCCCTTTTATAGGTGAAATTGCAGCACCATTACTAATAACAGCCATGGCAATAAATAATTGAGGCATTGTGCGGCAGTCACTTTGGTTGTTGCTGATTCACGGAGGGGATTTATTAAGTAAGCAAATAGCATGCAAAAAAATAAATAAATTTTAAATGCATTTAATCAGCAGGCTTGATTTCACAAACATATGATAATCATACATTTCTGAGACAGACATTTGGTATTTTGCTTATTTAATACATGAGATGAATGTACCAGATAATACACTGTTTATCCACTGCACCATGCCAGGCCGCCCCGCCCCAATGGTAGGAACTTCGCCAATCCCACCATTCACCTGTGCATCCACTCACCCCCACAATCAGAGAAGCTGCACCTATCCCACTGTTTGCCTGCGCATCCATCCACCTCAACCATAATCGGAGAAACTGTGCCTGCCCCACCGTTTGCCTGTGCATCTACCTCACAATTCTGCCCCTGCAATCGCCCACACATGCTGCCTCCGTGCAGCACTATAGCTTCTCCCTGCCACTGATTGGTTGGTGGCTAACTGTCCCAGACAGCCAAAGGCCCGGGACAAAGGGTGTCTCAGTGAAAGGGCCAAGCCGAAGGGCATGAGGTGGATGGCAAGGGGTCCATTGGCTAGGGAGATTGAGCGGGGGTGGGGGGGCAGCTGAGGAGGAACACTAAATGGTTGGAGGCGCAAAGTGAGAGGTGAAGGAGGCATGGCCAAGGGTGGGGGGTGAAAGATCCTAGACCCCATTTGGAAAGCCCTCAAGACATAGATATCAGCTTGTTAAGAGTCCGTGTCATTTGGTTGGTTTGGATCATTCGCTGTCATCTATATTATTTATTTATTTGAATCCTTCCTTTATGTGTTAGTAGTTTTTCAAAATGTTGAAAGCTGCCTTGAATCAGTCTCTTTGAGATGGCAGGATATGTAAATGAACCAGCAAACTAAACAAACAAGCAAACAAATAAAATATAGATAAATTCTAAATTTCTAAGTTTGACCTATTCTGGATAAGTTATATATAATTTCTTTGTCAATAAAGTTTCCACCAGTCCCTAAAGCAGTGGTTGCGAACCTATGGCATGGGTGCCAGAGGCTGCACTCAGAGTCCTCTCTGTGGGCATGCACACTGTCACCCCAGTCCTAGGCCTTTAGCTGGATTTTATAAAACCTTTTCACTTTAGGCCTCCGCTGCTATGTGCAAAAAAAAAAAAAAAAAAAAAGTTTCAATCAGTCAATTTCAACTTCTCATGGGAGAAAAAAGATCTTGCAAAGTTGGAATTGATTGATTAAACTTTTTAGTCCCACCCAGTCTGCCATTATCACCACAGCCATGCCCACCCAATGGGCCAAGCCCACCCAATGGGCCAAACCCAGCCAATGGGCCACACCCACCTGGCACTCGACAATGCATAAGTGGGTTTTGGGTTGCAGTTTGGGCACTCAGTCTCTAAAAGGTTTGCCATCACTGCCCTAAAGTGACTGAAAACTGAACTGGAGTACCTGAAAACTCAACATTGTATAAAGCAAACCAGAAGGGAGAAATAAATTGATGCTCTTACTTTTCCTCCTTCAGCATGGTACTCCTTCTCTTCTGCACCAAGTAATTTGGCCAATCCAAAGTCTGTAATCTTCACATGCTGGGGAGTCTTAACAAGGACATTTCTGGCAGCCAAATCACGGTGTACCAAACGGCGTTCCTCTAAGTAATTCATTCCCTAAACATGTTAATAGTTAAAGCATCTTATTGTACCACATAATATCTATAGCCACATTATAGGAAATATTAACAAAATGAATTTTGTATTTACAGAATATTGAGGTAGTCACAATAAAGTTGTTGCTTTTACAGCAGTAGTGAAAAATGAGTGCATGTGCAGAGCAAGGTTGTATTAATAGGTATTTATTAAATCACATTCCTGGCACTCCTTGTTGTGATTGTTAAGCAATCTCCTGGGTTGGACATGGGGCAAAAAAGCATCTTGTCAAGTTTAGTTCCCCACTGTATAGAGAGGAAATTGCTCTAGTGAGCTAGAGGAATGTATCTGAGCTCCATTTCTGCATCCTGCTAGAGGAGTTCAGTTTCTTTCCATGCATAGAAATGAACTGCTCTAACAGACTGTAGGACTGGGGCAGGGTGTCTGTTCCTGTTAGAAGACTTCAGCTTCCTTCTGGATATGTAAGAGAACTGCTTTGGTGAGTTTCAGAAACAGAGCTTGGATCTATGGGATTTGAGTTCCATTTCTTCATTTTACCAAAGGAATTCAGCTCCCATTGGTAGGAAGCTATTTCAGCCAGCTCCCTGAGGCAAGAGGGCATTCTGTCAGCAGGCAGCAGCAGCAGCAGCAGCAGCAGCAGCAGCAGCAGCAGCAGCAGCAGCAGCAGCAGCTTGCAATCTTCCCTATTGGTTTTTCCATTGACTGGAAGAGAAGATTGCAAATCATGATCAAATGATTGCAGGGCTTGTTGTGTGAACAGATTGCCAATACCCAGACTGTGATCATTTGACTGCAAAGGGGAAAAGTGCACCCTTTCTGAGTCTGTTGTAACTTAAATAATTGATTGTTAGTCAAGGACTTACCTGAATTTTAAAACACACCCAAGATTTCAAGGGAAGTTTTAATGTAGCATGTGTGGAAACTAAAAATCAAGAACTGCTTGTAGGCATCAGCTAGATCAGAGTGACAAATCTGAATTTAGGTCTACGTAGTAGACATTTTTGGAGAACTAGATGCAGTTTGTTGTTAATATACCTTTGCAATCTGCACACACCAATTGAGAAGGTACTGGGATCCGATGTTATCTTTGTGTTCTCTGACATAGTCAAGAAGGCAACCATACGGCATAAGCTGGGTGATGAGTTGGACAGTTGATGTGAGGCAAATTCCCAGCAAACGGCACACATGGGGATTGTCAACACTTGCCATTACATATGCTTCCTAATCAAAAGAGAGAGAGAGAGAGAAATACCTACTGTGGAAGAAATTATAATATTAGTGTTATGTTTTCCGTTTGTTGGCAATTGACAAAGACACATGGTGAAAACAACAAGGTCTTTATTACTCTTCTCCTACAACCAAGCAAACAGCAAAAGGCACTCAGGCCTTTTATAGTGCCTGAAACCCGGACAGTGTGAACCAATAGGAATTGACCATTTTCGCGCATTGCGCATGCGCACAAGGCTGGTGCCACTCTGTCTGGTCCCGGGCAGCTTTTGGATTGCCCAGGACCATTTGCAACAATTCTGAGCCTGCTTTCAGCTCTTGCAGGCTCAGGACAAAACATATAACATCTTGTCTCAGAAGATAAGATCTGCCCCCTTTCTTTTAGATTTCAGGAAAACCTGGCTGTGCTGATGAGAATTAATTTGAAGGCTAGAATTGATACATTACACTTCAACATAGGACAATTATATTTTAAATTTTCCTCTCATTTAAAAAGGTGATTGCACCAGAATAGAAGTCATGTAGGAAGAAGTCAATTTTTTTCTCTTTAATCACATGATCTAAATAGGTACAGTATATCCACATATCAAAATGACAACTTTCAACTATGTATACGTGTAAAGTATAAATTACCATCTCAAGAGGAATACTGAAATAAAAACAAAACAGCTTAATTGAATAAAGTTCAATAAAAATAAAATAAAAATCCATTATTTGTTATATAGATATAACATTTTAATTTATTTATTTAAAAGTAACATAATTTTTTTAATTAATGGTTCCAACACATATTTTGATGCTTTTCTGTCCATTCACTGCTAGGATTCCTGACAATTAATAAACAAATTAATACTACATAAAATATAAGAAAATAATTTGCCACTACATTTTCCAAACCTGTAAATTAAATTATAAAGATCTTAATAGACATTGTACAAATAAAAAAGGAGAATGGGAGAGAAAACAGAAAATATAATCACAAGAGAAAATACATATGTTCACATTTACTGTTAGAAAATTTTACATTATAGCAAGTATCATTATCTAATGAAGACCATGTTAAGAGAAGCCATAACAATTAGCCTCAATAAATCAAATTTCATCTCCTCTCAGAAGTAAAAAGCTTTTTTGTTCAATGACTTAAACTGTATTTTTTCTTTCAATTTCATCAGTTCTAGTTCTTTAATCTCTGAAAGCCTAATCAAATAATATCTTAGTCATAATATACTGAATCACTCATTATCAAGTAATTGTACTTTTTTGTCATCTGTCCCACTCAATCATCTAGCAAAGGAACATTCCTGGCCATTTGTTTTGCCAAGAATATACTTTACTGAAGCTTAAATGGTTAGAGAAATAGTGTAAGCTGAATCTGAGGTTTTCCCATGCTAACAATACAAAGTTTTCCTCCCCCCCCCCATGCCCAGTTATCTACAAATATCCAATCAGGTGCTTGTTTATTATTCAGGAAACAGGTGCTTGGTTTCCAGCTCTGCGTATTGTTAATGACCTTGGCTGCCTCCCTAGAAACCTTTGCATGTGCCACAAATGACTCTGTAGTGTGAGGCTGCTAAATCAGAATATGGCCCAAATCAGAGAAAGAAGAACTTAGAGCAAAATGCTTCATTTCTCAAATAGCCTTTAGTTCATATAGGAAAGATTGAGCAATTTCAATGGGAGGATCCAGAATATTAAAAAAAATGGTATGCATTATGTGGCTGGGTCAGATATACTGTACTATGTATTATAGAGGTTTTTCTAAACCATTCTTCCTTAGTCTGGATATTTTTGATTCCACTGTAATAAATCTAATATCATAAACATATGCTTCTTTGTTTTGTCTTTTATAGGCTCCTATTTCATTAATTATTATTATTATTTTTAACTTCTGACACTATTTCCATGAATTGACTGAAAGTTCCAAATCTTTACAAACATAAGCTTGAATTCTGTTAAACTAGAAACTTGATCTGCATCGGTTGTGCCATCTATCAGCCATCAGAATGTGGAGCTGTTCCAGTATTCCAGTGCCTATTAAATTTGATAGTATAAAAACAAACAGCTATCAACTCCTTTAAGAAAGAATGCTGAAGCCCTTGTGCCACCATGCACTTTTAAAGTACTTTGAAAAAATAGACTAAGTTTTTGTTGTTAAACTATAGTTTGGAATCTCTAAGGTAAGCCATAACCTATCAGAAGAAACTTTAGTCTTTAGGGGATGAGAATTTGATAAAACAGATTAAAGATTCAAATCAAGCCCACATAAAGAGAATTTATAATGTTTTAATAGAATTGGATTCTGAAATGGATTTAATTAAAGATTGTATGATAAAATCGGCTCAAAATATTCAAGAACCGATTTCATTGGATACATGGGAGGTAATTTGGGTTAGAAATGTAAAATTTACCCAGGCTCAAAATTTAAGAGAAAATTTTTATAAAATGTTTTATAGGTGGCATTTGGATCCCAAAAAGCTGTCTTATATGTATCCCAATTTATAGCCCAAATGCTGGAGATGTGGTAGCTTGGATGCAACCTATTTTCATATTTGGTGGACTTGTAGAAATATAAAAGCTTTTTGGATTAAGATTTGGTGGAACATTCAAAAGATTTTTAAAAGAAAGATAAAGTTCACGCCACAACTATTTTTGTTGGGTGTTATTGTAGATTGTGATGCTAAAGAAACTAATTTGATGTTGAATTTTATAACAGCTGTAAGGTTATTAGTAGGGCAATATTGGGAGAAAGATTCTTTGCCTACTATAGAAGATTGGACGTTTAAGGTGTCAAATTTAGCAGAAATGGCAAAAATTTCTGCTTACTTGAAGGATCATTCACAAGAAAGATATATTTCGGTTTGGAGAAGATGGATAGATTATATTCAGAATAAATATGGGATTAAAAGTTTCATTTAGCTTATGAGTAAACTTTAGAGTATTATTAATAGTTTTTTATTAGTTTTAGTATGGTTTAACAATATTGATTTGTTTATATTATTATGTTTATTTTAATTTGTTTATATTTATGTTATAAGGGAGTTAAAGTGCGTTATGGACTTGGTTACTTGTATAGTTGGGTAATGTTTTTTTTTTAGAGTGTGATTGTTTATTTGTAACCCTGTATTCAGCTCTGGGAAGTGGGGAGGGTGGGTGGGTGGGTGGGTCTTGGAATGTATATTGTATAAAACTTTTCAATAAAAAAAATAAGAAAAAAAACTAAAAAAAAAGAAGTTCAGTCTTCTGAATTCATCCTAATAAAGTCAAATGAAACTGGCTGGAAAATGGACTGAATTATTGTTAATATCTCAACTGAATAAACAATCACTCTCAACTTGACAACAATCAGAAGGGAGGTGGTTGTAATGTCTGAGGTGAGAATGGAATGCCAAGACTCTGTCTGTACATGATGAGACCCTGCTTTCCCCCTTCAAGACCATGCTGTGCAGGTGTTTGAACAATCCAGGCTGCTCGCATAACAAATGGACCATAATCAATTGGATAAAGCAATGGAGTGAGGGGAACAACCAAAGTGGGATTCAAGTTTAATCTTGTGGATTTTGAGCTTGAAATCCAGAGCTGGTTTTGTTTCTTTTGTATTAATGTAGTGCATTCAATAAAAGTTTTACTTTTGGGAAGAACAATGTCCCAGGAGTTCCTTTCTTGGATTCGCTAGCTGGACATTTGACATTAAACCAGCTCTCCATTTCTGCAGCCTACTTAGATCCTTCCAGGAAAGCTATGACATATGGCGAAGCCTGCTTCTGATGTGAGAAGGAAGGCCAGGAGCTGATGGCTCTGCAATCAGTGTCGGCACCACGAACCCCAACCCGGCCAAAGGGTAAAACCCGCCAGTGAAGCCAAAGGAGAAGATGCAGGTTGCACAGCAGGTTGTGAGATCTCTCCCCAATTCAGTGAGGGGGAGAGAACTCTGATCCCTGACAAGCCCTATGCTGTTCAGAGTATATAGCTAGCTTAGGAATTAAGAACTGTATGTAGAGCAAGTAGCATTTTAAGGGTTAAAATGCTGTCCCCTTAAGGGATGGCCTTTTTGGAAATGTAGTTTTAGTTGTTACCTGGTTCTATCTGTGTTAGGATTGGCCATTGGGAGGGTCTTGTGTTTTTATTACGGGATATCCTGTTTACATGCCAGTCTCCCCATGAATCCTAGCCACGAGGGTTAGGAGCTCCGTAGAATGGAGAAATCTATTATCCTGTTACTTATGCGATGGGTCCAGATTACAATCTGCATTTCAGGAGAACTTTTAGCCCCTGGGATGACTGAGGCTATGATCCTAGGGCTAGCCTAGCTGAAGAAGTGGAACCCAGTGGTAGACTGAGGCCATAACAAGAGGTGAATGAGAAAGAGAGCAGCTAAGCAGCAAGAATTGAGGAAAGCACTGGGTGCCAGCCATGAGCCTGTGATTAGGGAGGCAAAAATGGAGCTGGCTAACACACTAAAGAGGGTGAGGGGTTGAAATAGCCCATTCCAGGGAAATACCATGATCTTGCTGAGATGTTCAGTGAGAGGGAATCAGATGTGCTACTGCCCCACTGGCCAATAGATTGCACCACTGAAATTGTGCCAGGGGCCAAGCTGCCAAAGCCAAAGATGTATTCCATGACACCCAGGGAGATGGAAGGGTTTAGAGGGTTCATAGACAAGAATCTGGCTAGAGGCTTCATCCAGCCAGCCAAGTCAAGGGTGACAGCCCTGGTGCTCTTCAAGAAGAAGAAAGAGGGGTACCTGAGAATGTGTATGTATTATGGAGGAATAAATGCCATTTGCATCAAAAACATATATCCCCCTCCTCTTAATGCTGAGTTACTTGTCCAAGGAGAAGATTTTCACTAAGCTGAACTTGAGGGAAGCATGCTACCAATTGTGGATTGGGGAAGGGGATGAGTGGAAGACCATGTTCAACTGCCCCTGAGGATGCTACCAATTCTGTGTGTTGCTATTTGGACTATAGGGGGCACCAGCCATGTTCATGCAG